TTGCCACCTTGAGTTATTTATAAAAATAATAAAGGTAGGATAAAAAATCTAAAAAAAAAAAGCAGATCACCTTGAAAAATCAGCATGGTGACAGTGCTGACGGTGCTGGATTAAGAGCGAAATCCAGGTTCAAGTCCAACATCAGCCACAGAAGCTCCCAGGGTGACTTTGGGTCACTCCCTCCCTCTCAGCCCAACCTCCTTAAGAGGGTTGTTGTTACAGAAAGAATTAGCAGGAGGAATGCTATGTATGCCATCCTGATCTCCTGAATGAAAGGTGAAAGGTGGGATATATATCTAATATAGAAATAAATCACCACCTTTAAAAAAAAAAAAAAACCTCTTTACCCTTTTAATTAACTTCTGGCAAGATCAGGCACCTTCTGTCTCTGAATTGACTCCTAAATGGAGTTGCCCTCTGGGGGAGATGGGCAGCATACAAATTTAATTAATAAATTAATAAAATAAAATAAATCCGTTCTGATGCAGGTTTCATGCCACGCAGCACCTCTGCCTCCATCTACCTCTCTCCCACACAGAGAAGCATACAGCTGCAGACATGGAAACGACCACAGGGATTGCTCGGTTCAACCCTCCGCAATGTGTAGACCATCCAAGTAACCCATCCATAAACACACTGCTTACTTTGGTCAGTAAGGAACGCCGTGTGATGTCCAGAGCAAGGTATCCAAGGAGAGTCTGCAGCACCTCGGTCTGGAATAAAACCAGAGACATTACGCATTGTCAAACACTGGAAACTGCTTGAACTAAGGACTGCTAGCAACGTTGAGGAGAATGGAAGTAACAATTGTCATGGAATCTTCTAACAGGAGAACTAAATCTGGTGACCGAGCACTCGCTTTATAATGAGACTGTGAATTTGACTACCATGTTTTAATTCTTGCTTGAAAAAGAGTAAGATCTCAGTCTTTTCAAAAACGGGTAACCCCATCCCATCTCAGCGTCCTCCTTAATTCTCTCACCACAACATCCACGAGACACTCACCGGAAAGCTGTACTGAAGTAGCAACAATTTTTGTGTGATCACAAACTGGGCCTTCTTGTTTTTGACCACCAAATTCCCCAGCAATCGCGACAACACAGCAGGCCTAGCAAGGCAGACAAACACAGCGATCAAATTCAGCTGTGTGACCCTGGGTTGTTTTCAGTCACTATTTTATTCTGTGTCTCACTCCGCAAGAAAGATTTTAAAAAGCGTGCAGCGCCATAAGAACATAAAACATACTCAGAGCTACAGGAAAACGATCCACATAATCTGTCTCACATAAAACAAACATGTTACTCTACCATCCAAGAGAAGAGGAAAAATTGTGAAAGACAAGGGGCTCTCTTGAAAATCTAGGATATGCTTCGGAAGGCCCACTGTGTCAGCAATGAATGGAAGTCCAAGATCTCTGACTAGCTGTGCTGCATTATAAAAATGACTAGAGGTTGTGTTCAATTTGTGTTTTTTTTAAATGCACCACTGAATGCGAACTTGGATCCACGTAGAGCACCCTGTTACTGACTGGATTTGCAAATGGCACTCAATCATGGTTTGCTAAATAACCACAACTGTCCAGAATTGCACCTGCTGAGCCACAAATCATGGCTTACAAAATAAAGCAGCAGGATCCCTATGATACATTAAGTAGGGATGTCTGGTGCTTTGCAACCAAAGCAGAAAATGTGATTCGCAGTATACGTGGGTGCGCCCACTGCTTCTGTTGGCGGCTCCTCACAGAAGAGGCATCTTTTCCTGGGCTCACCCTGTACCTGCATAATGCTAGAAAAATACACGTGGCACTGATGGTGTATCTATGCCTGTTCCAAAGCACCTTTTCTGCAGTGCACATTCCCAATGCGAAGCTATAAGCTCTTCCTTAGCATAGTGCGTGAGCCCAGGCACAGAGAGACCAGAAACAAGGAAGACAGAAGAGCAGGGGAACTCTTCTGTTGTGCTTTCTTGCCAGTAGCATTCAAAACCAAGCCACTAGATCTTGGAGCTGGTGTATCGTCCCTATGACTAATTTTAACTTACAGCCGAAGGATCTCTTGATGGCTGCTAGATCCAGGTGCTGCAGCGACAAGAAAAGGAGAGAGGTTCATGGGTCATGGCACCACCTTCTCCCAGTAACTTGGCCTCTTACCCTGAGGTTGCCTGGACCAAGCCACAGACCACTGCTTCCATCCAGCGATCTGGCACACTCTCAAACAGTCGCCAACAGATTCTCTGCCAGATGCAATCAGACTGAGTACGACTGGCTAGGTGAGGCACCAACACGTTCAAGAGTTCTTCTGCGTTGGGAAAGAGCAAAATCGTGTGCTTTGAGATCGGAAAAAGCGAGAAAAGGAATACTGACAGAGCTAATGAAACTTGCTGCCCTCGTTCCTTTTCAGAAGGTGGGTTTAAAAGGTCAAGTCAAAAGAAAACCCAGTATGCTTCAACAACATTTTTGTTTGCACCACAAACTACAGGGAACTGATGCACCCTCTCTTTTCTTAAACAACCTTCTGCTACAGATTTATGTTACTGATTACATATCTATCCGTTTCTGTATAAAATCAAGCCATTTGAAGAGAAACGAGGAAAAGGAAAGGAAAAAGCACATCGACTCAAGCTTTTCTATTCATTCAGCATCTAGCTCCTTTCGTAGCCAGACTTCCCAACGAACTGTCATTCACAAGTTGTGCCAAGTGAAGCAAAGCAGACTGATTGATGAAAGTGTTACAGCAGCAACACCCCAGTTTGGAATATCCTTCCCATAATATATATAAAAAGGTACTGTATATATATTATACATTTTGGTGGCACTCGCATGGTATCAATAACAAACTAGCAACTATACTGATAGTATAAATAAAATACTGCTGTTCCAAAACTCAGGTTTTACCTGTGGGTCAGGTTCACACAAGCATGCTAGTCTGAAATGTGGCTGGCCAGTCTGTGGCTTAGTTTAATCCCTCAATCCCGAACCCATAACATTTTGGAAAGAAAGCTTGTGGATTAGTCATAATCAGACTTGGTCCCAGAGCTGGATAAAGCTTCTTACCTGAAATCATGGAAAGCCAGAGAGCAAAGGCAGATAGATTTTTAGTCTAATTCAACATAAACTGTCCTATAAGATTTGTGGTTATCTCACTGCGCCATATTTGTCAACGTACAGTACATACAAGTTTTTGGAATGAATTCTTCCCGTTTCATTCCATTTGAACAGCAGAAAGACAGCAATATCACATGTACTCACTTTGTCTTCCCTGCACGCAGACCTTTCCTAACACCTGAGATACAAAGGAGATGGAACAATCCAAGCCACCTGGAAGTACATAAACGCCCAACAGTGAAGGAATTAGTCAGATCTGCTTCCACCCAGAAGCGCTCTTCTTAATGAGCGCTCAGTCTGCTGTTACTTTCTCCAAGCTAGCCAAAACACACTGGCTAGCTGGGAATTCTGAAAATATGAGTCCAGACATTGGTTAAACTTCTGAAGGTAAAACCAGAATCATCTTCTAGGTAATCATAGACTGAACTGCCATTATTCCCAACCCCGCTGGCAGGGGGGCGTGGGAGTTTATGGGAGATCAACTCACAAGCTTTGGCGTAACTTCTATTTTCAACAGCAGCATATAGAACTTATAAGACATACAAACAAATATTTAGATGAATTCTCTTAGAAGAAAAAAAACTCTTTTTAAAAAATCGTTTTCTCCTGTAATTGTATTTCTTGGTTCCCTTCCCTCCTGTCCAGTAATCCACAGGAGTTTTCACCTATCCCTCTCTTACATCTCTTAACTCATCCGTCAGTGCAATCTCTTACCTCGTAGCGAACCAGAAATCCTCTCCATCACCTGGACAATTTCCGTGCCAAGCAACGGAAAATAATTTTGAGGGAAGAAGACTGGTCGGTTGTCTCCCTGGAGTTTGTTCGCTAAGTGATCAGGTAAACATACAACTTTGCTGAGGATCGCTTCCTGCAGAACTAGAGAACCGGTTTCTGTGTGTTGCTTGCAGGTTTCCCATATTAGAGCAGAGAGTCCGGACTTCTGCAAGAATTGCTCCAGGGTGTCAACTGTTTTATTCAGACGAAAACTTGGCCTGCAGGGAGAAGCATTTTCTGATTCTATTTTAATGTGCAAAAAAGAGTCAACAGGACAGCACTTCATCTTCTAACTATGTTAAGGCCATACAATATGCAGCAGAGACTTCCTGTGAATCTCAACATTTTTAAAGGGGAAAAAACAGAATTCTAGGGTTCCTGCTTTTGTGTGTGTGTGTGGGGGGGGGTAGGCATTACTACTGTGATATCCTCCTCGGCTGCTGTGTATTTCAGTTTTTGTATTTGTGGTTGGAATTGTTTTTAATTTATTTTAATATTGTTCGCTGCCCAGAGCCACTTGCTGAGATGGGTGGCCATACAAATTGAATGAATAAATAACCTTAAGAATCCACAGATCTTCAACAAGTTGTCCTTCCCACAATGATTCCTATTCTTGCTATCTGCAACTCAGATTCTAGTCTTCCTTTTTTTTTTTTAAGTCTTATGATAATATTCCTTGCTATGGAATTTTTACTGGTATGAAACCCATAATACTGCAAGTGGAATTATGCTACAACTGGATCTTTTGCCTTGCATCCTGCGGTCCTAAGGAACAAATGCCCCCTTGCGAGCTGCTCCAGCTCCACCAGGAAATACACGTTAAGACGTTTCTACAAAGCTGTCTTTTTCCGCTCAGTGACAAACATGATGATTATGATTAACACTCAAGTCTTCTGACTTGCTTTTTTTTTAAAATCTTCTTCTCAATGGATTCAGAAAACAGAGAACAGAAATGGAAGAACTGGTTCTGACAGGCCTGAGGGATACCTGATGTCTAAAAATGTGAGGGGACTCTTTCCTGCATAGGAAAGTATTTGGTTCTTATTTGCATACTTGTTGAAGGGAAAGGAAAAACCCATTTGAGGATTCAATCTAGGAAAACAATAGTTCCTGTGTAGAACTAATTTAAACAGGGGACTCTCTGGATCCTATTATAGCAAAAGTCATTCACTAATGGAGAGTTGGGGTATAAATATCCATCTCACTTTCTGTTCAACATATGTTGAACTTTGTATGTTGCATATGTGAATATGAATTTGAATATGTTGCATATGTGAATATGAATTTTTCCCAGGACATGTTCTGTAAACCCAACTGATGTGCTTTGTAAATACAGGTAGTCCTCGTTTAGAGACTGTCTCATTTAGTGACTGTTCGCAGTTACGACAGTGATGAAAAAGTAACTTTATGAGTGATCCTTGCCAAAAAAAGGGCACAAAGCACCGGAACCTCCGCCTCCTGCGCTCTCCAGCTGGGCTCTGCCCTAGGAAGGAGGCACTGGCAAACCACTTCCGAAACACCTTGCCTTG